TGTATGTCTCACAATAACGAAGTATGTTATATTGATTCCAACCGGTGAGGCGACATATCACGCCAATCGCCTCAATCCTAGAGGAATCCAGGCCTCTTCTAAATCCACATGGGCGGCGACCGCCAGTGGTAAAGAGCTGTGAACGCACTGGCTGGAATATCTTGGAAATCCAGAAGAAAACCAAACATTTACTATGTCAGTGACAGAAAATGACAAATCATCATGGCGAAGCCGAACCCAACCAACCGCACACCAGCACAGCACGTCAGTAACACGTCAGTTATATCCAAAGGACAATTGTGCTATCGAAAACGACTACATTACATGCCTATAATGCTGATGTTTACGGTCTATTTGCTGACAGTCGTCAACCACACTGGCAACGTTATCGTTTTAGAGGATCAGTTGAATGAATAACATTAGCTAACTAGTATAATACACGGATACCACACCATGGCGATTTCAAAGGCGAGTTTCATTAACATCCAGCACTTTAGATTATAGCCTCGAGCTACTTCTGTGTATCTGGCCAATTAATGAACTTACTTACTTATTTGGATACTTGGATGACCTATTCTCAGTGGTTTTGCGGCTTCCAGCACATCTCTGGAGTCCCGAGGTCAGCCTGGTCAATGTCTACCACCGGTCGCCACCACCACATTTAGTCGCCGACCTTGTGGATCAGACGGAGATTTGCCATAATGGGACTAGTTTAATACCAGGGACAGCGGTGGATCCTGGTCTTGGTTTGCTCTTATCTGGGCTACCTGATGGAAACGCCGGCCCCTTCTCAGCTTGAAAGATGCTGCACGGGGAATGAACCCCTGCTGTACATCGCAGTCCGAAACCCTATCACGATGAGGAGGTAAAGTGTTTGGAGGTAATTAATGAGTAATTAATGGACATATGTTCGAAACTACAAATGAGCCCTAATCTACCTCGTATATCGTACCCAACGGATGAATCCCTCGTCGAATAGTGCCATTGGGCGAACAGGTCAGCAAGCCCCGTACTGCTCCCTGAAAATATTTCAAATGCATAACTGTGTCTGCAGTAAAGAAATGAACACATTTTTTGTGCCAAACACATGGGACTGCGCATATTTTTCCTCCACCTGTTCTGCGTGTCGAAATCAATGCAGGCCAGGCATTCTTTGTGTTGTTCTGGTAGAGACTGTCCTAGTGCTAAAGAAATGGGAAGCCATACCAGTCTTCCAAGAGGCCAACAAAATATTGTTACTCTTGATTCATTATGAAACATATTAACTAAGCTGGTATTAGGTGTAGCTTGGTGCGCCAAGATACGTGCCTCTATGNTATCCTTTCCAAAACCACTCACTCTGGTGGTGACTAGTACACATCTAGCAGTCCTAAAGCAGTACTAAACCTCCTTCAAGTATGATAAGTGATTTTTCACTTTATTACAGTGATAAGAGGTCTGAGCTTTGAATTACCCCTACAGACGACGTGCAAGTTCTACTGACGGAATTGTCATTGCGTCCAGGAACGAGTGCAGCAAGGCGTGAGCGATGCTGTGCTAAACATCTCCACGTAAACATAGGGAAACTATAAACTTCGATCAATGTAACAAAAAGAAAAACACGGTACCAATTCGCTCTCGATTATTTCCCAAGACTGGGACACGTTCGGGACTGGGTGGAGGGGTGTCGAATGGATGGTTGGTGCCCTCCCGTCCTCCTCTCTGAAGAATGAGCCCATTCATTACGTGTGGAAATCCCATAACCACATACCTTACTTACTCCTTCCTCACTAGAGGAATACAATCTGATAGGCTTTGAACGGCGCATAGGCAGTTATTGTAGGTATTGGACAATAATGCTGAATGTGCCATTTTGAACTACGGCCAGCGTGAGAAGCCGCTTCGCAACCGCGTGCAAGTCCTCGGAGACTTGGAGCAGATTAACTCAATCCACTCCAGCATTTAGAGGAAGCGGTCTTCTAATTTCAAATCGAGGTGCTTTTTTATGGGGAAGAATCCTAACTATACAACCACAGTTACACAGAGATATTTGCAAAGCTCTGTATCGCAGATGTCTGCGGTGGGGATCAAACTCTTACCCTCTCTAGGGACTAACGTGTTCACCACCACACCATGCAGGTCCTTCATTTCGCCTTCTCGTAGTTGCGTCTTTACCCACAGGTGCACAGGTGCTATCAACAATCGTCCTTCAACAGGATTGATCTTGGGAGCACAAATCGACATTGAACCCGGTTAACCTAGGGATCCTCCCGAAGGTTTAGCGCCTCATGGTAGCTGGGAAGTGCTTATGTGTGTCGGGTTGCGATGTACAGCAGGGAAACCCATTCCCTTGGCAGTGTCTTCCTAGCTCAGAAGGAGTCCAGCGTCCTCAACAGAAAACTTAGCTAAGAGTAAACAAAAACCAGGATGCACCACCGTCTTGGTATCAAATTAGTCGCGTCTTGGCAAATCTCCATCTGATCAACAAAGACGTCGACTACCAGTGGTGGTGATAAGATGCTACAGATTTTGGCCAGGCTGAGCTCGGGACTCTAGGGAACCACAATGGCTAAACCAACCAATCACCGAAAAAATGGAATGGAGATTATGCTGTTGCCCGCACGATCAGTGAGGACGGGCCATCCAAGTATCCAAGTAGGTAATCTGAGGCTGCTGTCGAAGTCACAATGTTAACTTTTCTATTTACTACCTAGTACAGTTACCCACAGCAGGGTGTTATGTGAAAAAATTCTCGTTACGTTTACGATGAGCATGTGAATTCCATCTAATTTCACTGCATTTGTCTCATTATTTGTGTCTCATTAGGTTTCATTTATTTTCTGATATACATCGCTTTCATGATGATCGCGATTCCGTCGACAACTGCACTCAATCAGCACACTTCACGTCGACAAGTGGAGAACGTCGAAGATCCTGAAGCGGCAGGAGCTGAACCCTTGTGAAAATGCGAACACGCCCATGTACGTGGTCGCAAATCGACGAATCAAGCTGGAGTGTTCTCTGAGACGATTAAGCTTCATGTTTCCTTTTACGTTCGGATAAGCTTTAAAAAAATTGGGTAACAAGCTTATTTCTAACTTCCAGAAAACTTTAACAAACACGCACCACTTCACTGGTACGCCAACCGCAGTGTGCATCGTACCAGTCTTTGAAGGCAACTACTTCATTGTGAGTTCTGGGAGAGGTAATCCAGTGTAGATCTATGCTCGCAACTTTCGAAACATTTGCTGAGCAGCTAGCTTACGCACTACATAACCCTCAAAAAAAGGACAGAGCTCTTGGCGTTAATCAATCCCTGAGGGATGCGCCACGCATTCGACTTCATTGAGCAACGTTGGAGGTGATTTTATGGCCATTGCAATAACTCGGAATGACTACGGATGTATCGAGCAAATGCCGCTATCCTCCCAGGTAAGACTGGTACCAATTTTCTGACCCAGGAGAGATGGAAGGCTTCGTGATCCATGGGTGCGAAGATCGTTTCTACGTGTGTGTTGCAGGCCTTCTACGACCACTGCGTCACACGCATCCTTCGTTTCCTTATGCCCAACGCTAATCGAATTCACTTCCAGGTTATACAGTTATCGAAAAACGCGTTGTTCGGTTGAAGTCATCAGTTCCAGCATGGTAATTTGAATGCACTAGCAAGATGTGGACACTGTATTTCGATTCCAGCTTAATTGGATCGCAAGGTACATTTGTTTGCGTGATTTTTTCTGGTTGTCTTTCTTTCTTGAAATAGGAGTGTACGTGGATACGTGGACGATCCGTCCTTACAGGTAGTGCGGGCCGCAGCATAATCTCCACTTTTCGGAGTTTTCTTGGTTAAGCCATTGTGGTTCCATGAAGTCCCCAGACCAGCGAAGGCAAGGTCTGCCCTAGGTGGTT